TACACACGACTTCGGCTGAGGCACCCTCTGTGGAATTAGCACCGATGGCCGTCCGGCCATGCTGGGAGTTCATGAAGGGTTCCAGGTTCTGGTGAAGCAAGTTTCCCCTCAGGCTCGTAATATTTTCTGTACGCTGCATCGCGAAACACCGGTGGCCAAGACTCTTTCCGAAAAGCTCGTATCGAAGATAGAGGATGTCATCAAGGCGGTGAATCCCATCAAGTCTTGGAACTGAATTTCGGGCTGTTCCGAGCAATATATTTTGAAATTTAAGGGAGCGTGAGTGTCTGCTTCTCTGCTCCCAGGTAAGCTAGCTATCAAAAGGAGACGTGCTTCAGCTACGAATCGAATGCTTTCGATAAGAGAGGAAACGAAGGAATACCCTTGCAAATTGCTTCAATGACACAGAGTGAATTATCAAGCGAGATAAGTGCCAGATACCAAGCTTTGGTATCTGGCAGTTATACTTGAGGTCCTCGATAGACTCGATGTCTCCATTCAAACGTTCTCGATCTGAGCGAGTAACTACGGGCATTCCAAAATGAATTGCAACTATAGCGTACGAAAATCGATAAAGCGAAAGTGCCTCTCTTGCCTCTAGATAAATGCCTTTCTTGATGGATATCTCAAAGATGAAGCGGTCTTTTCGAGTGATATCCAACGAGTAATTCTTGACCATTTCCAGTCGCTCGAGAAGGAATTTCAGAGATACTTTCCTAATATTTCAGAGGGCGCTCATGATTAGATAGGGAGTCTTTACTTAATTGAACCGACAGACCTCCCAGACCATGACCTGAAGCTCCAGAGTCCATTTGCATGACTAGTGATGCCTAATTGGCAACTAAGTTTCAGCTTGCTGATATTTCTCTATTCCAGTCTTGGATATCTGTCCGTCACGAATACCCAACACTGACAGAAGGCTCTTCTTCTTCCCTTCCCGACGGCCTACTTCTGTGACCAGGTATTCTCATCCGTGTGTTCTCTGAAAAACCGTCCAGCAAACTGGACATACAGCATGACGCTTGTGCGGCGTTGTCTGTTAACGGAGCCGAGGATGAAAGAGCTTGTGCGAAGTATCCAGGGCCAGCCATCGCACTAGGCTTGTAAAGCTACTTGTATTGTAGACAGTGTAGCAATGCAGTACTGCATTGCATTCAGAAGTCAACCGCAATGATCCACTTGCATTCTTATCTATTGACGAACAACCTTCATCATGGGTCGCTGAGTCCAGAAAATGCAAAATATGATTGCTCTGTCAAAAAGGTTGGGAACCATTGTTCTGCATCCTTTTTCCTTAATCACATGTTCCCTTCAGCACCTCATCTTCACCTCACCCACTGATATTGTTACGAGAAGGCCGCATAACTTTCCATTACCTTTTGACAAGTAAGTAATCCTGTGTGCGAATGCACGATTTGGAAAAGCACGAGCTGGATCATCTGGAACTGATCTGAATTTACCTGCAAATTGTACTCGTGGACTTTGGATTTAGTTTTTTATCGGTTCGTAAAATGGAATTTTCCCGTTTCTGACAGGTTGCATATCAGGAAAGAATATTGCGGTCATTTCATCTCATTTTCGTTCTCACTCCGCCAACCACTAACGTCCTTCATTTTCACCCTTGAACTTTCGTTCTAGCATCTTTTCCCCCGTCGACATTCTATTGCCTGAATTCTTTTTTCTCCTATGGAAGTGAAACGCGATTGCCAGTGATCGGATTCGGGAGTAGAAGACCCTCTGTCGGCTGCGTTAACTCAGTTTCTTCCCGACGCAAGACGATTGGAGGAAGAGAAGGAGGATCGAGGAACGGGCTCATGGCTTCCCTTCCCGACTAATCACCAATCAATAACGAGCCAAGTAGTTCCCCTCCTATACCCTGCCTTCTTTCCTTTTTAACGTCCGCACCAGATGATGACGCAAGTCCTGTGCTCACTAGAGGATGCTTCGTCGTGCGTAAAAACTCTCATTAATTTAATAGATGGGCAGCATCTGTCTATTGTTGCGATGGCCTGCATCTAGAATGGAAACATTCACGACTGCAGACATGCACGTTCACGAACTCTCACTGTGGATCCTCCGAATATTCTATTCTCAAGCAAGAATCAATGATGAAACTTAAGAAATTAAAAAGAAACCGAAAGGGACCATTTTCTGCTCTTCGAAAGCAATTTGAATCGAGTTAGCAAGTGGGAACCGTCTCTGTCTTTCCTGATTTCACTTTCTTCCGTTTTATACGTGTTCCTGCAAGTTTTCTTCCAGAGTTTCATAGAATGCTTCTGATAAAATTATTTGTTAGCAGATTAAAGACACGTTTAGAGATGTTCTGCAGGACGATATCGGCCTTCACTAGCTGGACTTGAGGCCTCCTGCGTTCTGTAAGCCTGCACGATACATGTTGCTTCCAGGATGCGTCGGGTCTGCAAGTTTTCCCAGGAGGACTTATTCATTTCCCTCGAGACTGCATCCCAGCCCAGATGCACCCAAATGGAAAAAGGGAATCATTGGATCTTGTGCCTGCAATTATTAGCATGCACGAAGTAACAGAGAGAAGAAAAAAAGGGGGAAAAGATATCTTCTTTGCTCTCAGGAATGCTGAAGGGGTAATGGCAGCTACTTTTAACCTTTTCTTTCTCTCAGACCCCTAAGCTCTGGCACATTATGTGAGTTGCAATCCATCAAGGCAGCTCTGTTCCATTACTCTCTATTTCTTCTCCATTTTTTCTTGATTTTTCTCCTGAACTCTCTCGGAGGACACACGCCCATCTATCCTGTCGGGACGACTGTCTTTTATGATGAGAATGATAGACGACAGCGATTGTGAATGCGTGCAGCACCAATGCGCCACGAATTGGAGCAAGAATCCCTCTTAGGGGCCAGGAATACCGTCATTGCCTGCTGGCAACTGAAACGGGTGAGGTTAGTGTGGGTTTCCCCCTTCAATTCATTGCCTTTTTATTTCATTTGGCAGACTTGAAATTTCCGTTGAAGGCAAGGCGAAGCGGGCCCAAAGCAATCAGGATGTCTCAGATGGAGGTATGTTTGTGGAAAACGAAGGAAAACTTGCGGAATCGCTGGAGAATTTCCATCGACACCTAGCATACACTAGCCGCCACTCGAATTGAATTGCAACACCGTGAACGAGTTATCTAGCCCTACCAAATGTTGCAAAGTGGCAGAGGATGGACCACCAACGAAACGAATCACGCCACCGAGTAGAATTAGAGAAAGACGCTTGCCTACACCAAGTGCTTAGCGGATAAAAATAGATCTGTCTCTCTCGGGATTCGTTTGCTCGAAGTCACTGCCGCGAAACTAATTGAGGCTAACTCTTTAGGGAATCGTTCAATATTCAGACCTACAGGGTATATATTACATAATTATCGGCGTAAACTTGGACGTTTCTCTTGTAGTCCGAATCATTAATGGGACTCAGAACAATTGACATCAAATCCGGTCCATTCGGGTCAAACCCGGACTTTTGGCTATCATATCACTACCCCAACAGGAATTAGCTCTGGTGCAAGAGTTACAAGTATTTTAGCCGTGGTTTCATGCATCTAACATTTGAGCCTCAACTCCAGTTCTCTTGCTTTCCCAACACGCTTCCCCCCTGCCATCGCATTATACAGTACGAGGTCTGATCAAAAAGTTCCCTTACTTTCTTGTTAAAAAATAAACCGCTTTAGGTAGGGGGCTAGGACTAGTTTAGGTGGGAGTGGGGGGGGGGGGGGTAACCGCACGCATGGTGAAACCTCCTTTGCGCTAGGATTAACCAATCGCGAATCACGAGCGTTGAAATCCGGTTGTCTCTGTGCCCTTCGTCGAATTTTCGATCATGCATCAGGATCCTGATGCATCATGAGTTTGTCCCACAAGGCCAGACAGTTAACCAGGCTTACTACAAAGATGTTTTGACCCGTCTGCGAGAAAAAATTAGGAGAAAACGGCCCCAACTTTTTCTAAATGAAGCCTGGTTTTTGCATCACGAGAAGGCTCCAGCCCACACTGCTCTCACAATTCGAGAGTTTTTGCCTTAAAAAAAAATTCCTGTGTTGCCCCACCCTCCCTATTCACTGGACCTGGCTCCGTGTGACTTTTTCCTATTCCCCAAGATTAAATTTCACGTGAAAGGAAAAAGATTTGAAGACATTGCAGGCATCAAGGAAAAATGCGACGAGGCAGCTTAAGAGTCTTACACTCCAGGACTTCCAGCACTGCTTCCAGAAGTTGCAGGAGCGTTGGAATAGCATCGAGGGGGGAATACTTTGAAGGGGACAACAATTAATTTTAATGTACTTATTAAAAATAAAGTTTACGAATAAAAGTACTGGAACTTTTTGATCAGACCTCGTATGTGGCTCCGTTTATTTTCAACCTCTTCACAGGAATTTTGTGTCACCTCGATGGCACCAACCAAATCAGCAATCACTTTTCCTGTCTCCTTTTTCCAGGCTTTCTTTACGAGTCCAGAACTTCAAGTATCGCGATGGTTACCATACCACTGATTACTCCCAGTGCTCGAAGGGTAGGTCTACCACGGAAGCCAACAGTGACTCGAAACTAACACAGAATTGCATGCGCTGCTAGTTCTCCGTTTCAGTAGCCTCCCGGCTACCATGACAGTTGGTACACTGCGCAGAAAAATTGTCTCGAGTGGGAATCATCAGTAACTGACGTCCCTCAAGTCCCTAAATAGGCCTACAGTCTCAAATCGTGTGTTATTATCTTGGAAAATAGATTGGAAATGAGAGCAAGGGTGCCCTTGGTAGTAATGCGTGAATGACCTCTTGGCTTTCCGCGACACTATCAATCGATACGCGAACGTCTTGCGAATAAAAATGTTCCTTATGGTCGACGCGTTACTGGGCGAGGACGCGCCAGATTGGCATGGACATTGAACCTGTTAGATGTAACAAGGGCTGTGACTGGTTCTCTTACCATAAGAATTTGCTTAAATGAGAAAATGAGTTATGAAGCCAAAAATGTATTTGTGCAATAAAATGTCCGTAAGATCGGGATGAGACTAACTCCATGTAAGAAAAAGTTACGAGGTTCTTGCGAGAGTTCCGCAAAATATGAGGATGGGGTTCATTATTGGCAGTCTGCACTAAAAAAAACGTGTTCCCTCAAGATTCCACTTTCAACTCTCCCATCCACTGCAATGGATTCGCTCAACATTAGCGCATTACCTTTGCCAAGTGAAGTGAGCTGATATCTCACTTCTGAATATCTAGATGATGCATATTTCGTGATGCGATTATGCACATTCAAATATGCTGTTGGTTCTCTGTGAATGACTCCACCTCTACTTCACAGAGAGCCAACCACTTCTAAAAAAAATCAAATCTCATGGAGACAGCTGTATGCATGATCCTCATTGACTGAAAATAAGAGGAGGAATAGAGAAAATGCATCGAGCTTTGTATATGTAATTATGCAGAGCACAAGAGCAGTCATGAATATATTTATAGGAGCATTAAGAGTGCCAAATACGCAATGAATGAATGAGCATGAACGAGATGTCTAAAATCGGCTTTATGTATGCAGGCTTAGGCACATAAATTTGACTTGCCTGAGGGTGCCAGCCATTGTTTTCATGCACTCGCAGGTAAATGGAGCTGAAATTTTATTTCGTGGAAGTACACGCTTCATGGATACGGGTTGTCTATGGAGACGATCTCTTTCGCGCGAATAAATTTTACGTGAGTATGCTTAAACCACGCTCCATAAGTGTGGGAAGCTACGAGATTCATGTAGGTAGGGAGGTTTGGGAGATATGACGTCGTCCCCCGAGGGCACATCTGTCGTCTGCTCCCTTCCATGGACGCACGGACAAGCACGAGAGTTCACTCACTCGGGGTGCTTGGGCTGGGTCCTCGCACCGGTAATTACGGTTTACTGCCACGAATGACTTCCTTCTTCGTCCTTTTCCCCCAACTTCGTGCCATTTGTGATCCGTGCATGGAGTAGGGGAACACGGCCATGTCAAAGGCCTTCGGTGCTCGACGACTGTGGATCTGCACGAGGAGGCGAATGACCTTCGATTCTCCATCCTACCTCGTGGCTCTCTGCGCTCTCGTCCTCTTCACCGTTTTCGTGGTCTATGGTCCGTCCGAGGTAGGGAAACACGAGGATTCCGTGCCTTTGAATCATCGGTACAGGAAGACTTTAGGAAAAGCGGAGAAGACATTACAACACAATCAGGAAGTCCAAGTTACTTCCCGGAAATCAACCACTCTGCCGGCGAAGCGGAACCGATCGTGAGTAGATCTCCTGCTTACTCAGAAGATCGTAAAGAAAAGGGTTTGAGTTATTCCTTCCCGTTCTTGTTACGCTTGCTCGCTAGCTCTAGCAAGTAAAACGAAGGAGGAGTAGATTCGTAGGGAACTGAGATGGGTTAGAGGGGAATAAAAGCAGCTTTTGAGAAGTCTCTTCCTTTGTGACCCTCCTTGGGAATTTCGAATTCTCTCTGTTAGGAGAGATGAACCCATTCCACGACAGATGGCGTCTGTTTCCTACAACATATGGGAGAAAATGCGACCTTGGAAGGATCCGAATTGCAGCCACCATGTTGTCAGGTTCGAACCCGTTTCGGAAATGGAAATTTAAACAAATCTAAGGGCGACGATGAATTGGAAAGAGGAGACACGTTATATTTATGTCTAGGTTCGCAGATGTGGGACATTTCCCGGCGGTGGCCTTGGCAAGTTTTCCTTGTTCCGGAAACACGTGGACTCGTTACCTTGTAGAACGAGCCTCTGGGTATTTCACCGGATCCAGCTACCGAGATACCGGCCTGGAAATCTCCGGTCGGCCAATCTCCACTTTCCAGGCACCAATTGGCACATATCTCGGATGCATGACGCAATACTTTCCTCCTCTCCTAGGATTTCTGGGTGAGAAAGCGAAGATTCAGGACGGAACAGTGGTGGTGAGCAAAACGCACGACCACGGGAAGGAAATGATCGAAGAATTTCAATCCGGGATCCTTCTCGTTAGGAATCCCTACAAAGCCATTCTCTCCTTCCATAATTTCCTATTCACGGGACACCTTTCTCACGCCCCAGTCCGCAATTTCCTCCGCAAAGGTGAATACACACAAGGAAAGCTCGATTTCTTGATCCTGTATTTGTACGGATGGTGTAACTCCATCTGATCTTCTTCCCATGAGATTGGCCAAGGTTTGTCGAGGCATCTGGGAAGAAATGGCTGGAGACCTACCTCAACTGGCTCGAAATGAGCCCCAAGGTTCTCGTCGTTCACTACGAGAACCTCACGGCAGACCCGTCATCTTGTCTACGAAAGATGCTTCATTTTCTGGATCTCTCCGTCGACGAAAATCGAATGGCCTGCATACAGGTATGACCTCGAACTCTGTCGCGACATCGCCATTTTCTTGCATGGTCATATAGAGAAGGAGAAAGTGTTTTCCCTTTTTATATTTAGAATCATCGGAGAGAGCAGTTCCGTCGACCGTCGGGCTACGTTCCCGACGTCGAGTTTTTTCCCCCCGAAGTGCGAAGAAAAATGGACAAGGCGATTCTACATTTAGACGGTGAACTGCGTAAACGGGGGCTTCATTCAATTCCCTTGTCAAAATACGAATACTTCAACGGGACGAAGGATTCCGAGAATCGAGTCCAGTGCACGGAAGGAGAAACCGAAGACGAATGTTGGGATCGGATCGACGCTTACAATAGGATCCAGGTTCAGTTTTACAGCAAGTACCAACAACGGGGAAGTTTGGAGGAAATCCAGAGATTGTACAAGAAACGAAAGAAAGATTCCAGCCGTCCACCAACTCTCATGGACGAGGTGATGAAAAAAGCGGCTTCTGCTCTTCTACCTCTCCTTCGAGGGGATCCTTTAGAGACTCTCATCTCGAAAGACCCCGACGACAGCCTGTGATCAAAAGTCCATCTGTCTCTATTCCCCGGCGATTTCGTGTCATTTCACTTCGATTGCACTTTCACGGAAAATAAATAATTTATTCTTTGAGAGAGGGTTGTGGAAAGATCAACAATAGACCCAATCGAGATGCAGACGAGGTCGACAAGCCATCGGACATGGAGTATTCTTAACCATCTCGTACTCCTTCTTTTTTGATGGCACGTAACCCACAAAGAGAAACTCGTCTCTTTGAGTCGGGAACGGCTGGGATTCTCCGAATTCCGGCTTCTCGCACGTGTAGCTATCGAACACCAGGGCGTCTTTCTGCAATGACATCAATCAGAGTCCTCTCACTCATCGTGTCATTGTCAGTCAGACGAAGATCACTCACCTTCACGAGGGGCCAGGCGAATCGTTGCAGGAGTTCCTGGTCGTAGTAATAATGATGCATGGGCGGAGAGAAGAGCATTCCATCTCTCAGAGAAGCAGCTTCAGAAAACGGGAAACTCTGTCCTTGCTTTCCACCCCACAGACCTATTTCCGAGAATGCCACATTTAACGAGTTTATACCGTGTGTTTCAGTCCAAAGACGGTTCCCGATTTTCCCTCCCCCTTTTTTGTGAGGATGAAGCAGGTTTTACCGGCAAGCATCGGATGTAAGGTGTCGGGATGATCCCTAAAGACATGAAATGTTCTCGATGAAGATAGCCATGCATTCACGGCCTCCACTTCACGAGAGATGACGAAGCTGTCGATGTCGCGGACCATGAACTGCTTCACCAGAGGATCCCCCATCACAGCGAATCTCCATAAGCGTCCGATCGGCTGTCTCTGGAAGTAACCGTTGAAAAGGCCTCGTTGTGACGTACGATGTTCGCTCTTCAGTGTGTTAAAATACCGGTAAAGAGGAAAACTAAACTAACGGCCGAGAGATCGTTCAAAGGCGGAGGAAGGTCGTACACGGGGCATAGGTCCACGTGCGGGAATCGAGATTGAACGTCATGCAAGAAGTGCCAAAAGGAAAAGCTCTGGCTGACGTTATGATAGATTCGTATCGACCAGCCTGGATAAGCGGTTGTTGCCCTTTCCACTACGGATCCCAAGGTCTGAGTGTAGCGGAAGTCCTTGGGGAAAGGCTCGGAATACGGGACATAGAGACTGTATGATATCACTCTCTGTCCTAAACCTCTTTCCGTCGCTTCCTTTCCGCACGTTGATTCCAGGTTCGATGCGCTGCTCACGGTCGCCCTGGATACCGGAGGGTTCACCGTCCCGATTCCCGCCACTTGTGCGTAAACCAGGAAACAGGTGATGGAGAATACGCCAAACTTGGACATCGATCTCACCGTCTGCCCGAAATAGAAAAAAGCCACAAAAATGAATATATGGTGGTATTGATTGTTCTACAAGTAGTTCACTGAACATTTAGTTGGGTGACATGTCACGAGAGGGAAAGGGACACAGGAACCTAGGGGCTGATAAGGGGCGGATGGATAGAAGAAGCGGAAAGGTGTGTATGGAGACCGAATGAGTACAGTTGAATACATCGTATTGGCCCATTCTCGGTGTGGTGTTCAGTTTAATGCGAATGGAATGAAACGAGCGCGTGTGTGTCAATGTTTCGTCTCCACTCTCGTATGCCTCGGCTTCTTCCTGTTCATCCTTCTCGATACAAGAGCCCCTTCTGGTGAGACATACTCATTCCTACGCCCATCGCAACGCTTATGAAATCGGATATTCACTGATAATCCAGTGGCGACCAGTGTAGGATGCGAAACTTACTACCCCGTAGAAACCTCAAACGTAGTAAAATCCGCGTACGCAGGACTCATTATTGTGACGCAAAAATGACTACTGTAAGCCAAGACTGTTTGCAATGGGCTATACGAGGTAGGTACGGTCTCTTTTCCAGTCGTGCCTCCAGGGTCTGGTGGGAGATGATCCTGAAACCTTGACCTCATTTGTCAGATACTTATCGGTACAAGAATTGTTGCGCAGAAGGACGGGCGTGAATAGTACAGTTGCACCAGTTCAGTGGTTCTCGTGAGAAGAAAATGTGTCTGCGGAGAGATGGCTGACTATGGGCGTGTCTTTTTCTCCAGCCGGTAGCAGCTGCTAGCGAAAAAGACGCGTTGGCTAGGCACGACCACGTCATTGAATGACGTCACTCTTGGGCTTCATCGACCGTCGCCATGTATCGCTTGATACCCTCGCGACTCGTCGAGTCGGGATTCATGACGTCATGGGATGCTGGAGGCCTCAGCAGAGCTAGCTGAGCCGCTGAGAAAAAAGACACGCCCTATAGCTGCGAGTCGATCGCGACGTCATGGGGAATACTTCGAGTCCACGAAGAACATGCGAAGCACGGCAGTAACTTGAAATAATGAAAGGTGTGGAGAAGATGCGAGTGCGAGGAGGACATTGAGGGATAGAGAGCAAGGTGTCGCCGTGAAATATGAGGAAATATATATGTCCCTTATCAGCCCTAATGGTGACACGTGCGATTCAACTCTCGAGATAGAATGTGGGAAGAAGAAAAATATAAAGACATCAGCCTCCCATGTGATAGCAATTATAAAACTGCAACGACCTCGTTGATGTCAGAGAAATAAAATATGCGAAAACAGAATTCCTGCATAGAAGATTCATTTTGGCGTGGGCGTAAAGTAACATTTGCGTACGCTGATTTCACTACCATAGTATTAATAGAATGGGCGAACGCAAAGACCACTATGGTAGTAAAGTCAGCTACGCAAAATTGATTACGGTAGCCGCAATTGCATACGCGAAAAACACCACAGTAGTCGGTTTTATCAGTAGTCAGATTCGTGTACAACACCGGCCGTATGTATAGATAAGTGATATTGTCCGCCTGCCATCCGAATGGCTGGGGATCAGTTTCAGCCGTTCGGTTCACACTCGTGTATCTTGGTTCACATGATCACTTCTGACACAAGGGAATGCGAGAGTAAAATGTGGAAATCGATTGTACAAAAATATTCATAAATAATATTTCAAGGGAGAAGAAAAAAAAAAGGGGGGGAGGAAGGGGAATACTTACGAAGATGCTATCAATCTTATGTAAATGTGGTTATAAGACTGTCAAATTTCCCAAGGGGAAATTTGACAATCTTATAATATATTCGGCTTCGGATGTCTGGTCATCCAAGATCTACCTTTGCATTCCTTTTTCATGATTTCTTTTTCTCAGCAAAGTTGCTGTGGAAGGAAGAGCGGAGGTGGGAGGAGGACTGGGATCGTAACCAGACCCGAGTGCTACTCTTGGCCTATCCGCGCTCAGGATCTTCCTTACTCGGACACCTCTTGTTTCGGATACGAGGAGCTGCCTATTTCTTCGAACCACTGCATGTTTATCGACAACGACAGAAGCTCATCGACGAAGGTTAGAGTCACGAAAAGCCCAATCAGCGACTCGTGAATGCAGACCCACATTCTGGGTTACAGGAAAAGGCATGGGACTCCTGGACCGCATCTTCCGATGTGAAGGCGAAGTTTTATCTGAAATGATCGAGAACGCGTTCGTGAATCGATATTCCCTGGCATTCGACGATTGTCGTAATGCAAAGGTCATATTTCTGAAGACCATTCGACTGCGCCTTGATGCTGCGTTTCACTGGCTCTCGCGCCGCACGGATCTCTACGTAAGCCTCTCTCGTTTCGTCTGAAAAAAAAAGTATATTCAACGCCTAATCTGAAAACAAAGCTCGGATTTCGATTCGGAAGTTACCGAAAGACATATTTTCGTCGATCAAAGTTATGTAAGTCAGTGCCTTAGCAGTTCCTCCTAAGACAACGTTAATTTCTAGGTCGGGGTTTTTTTCATTTTCAAATGACTTTGCAGATGAAGGGCAGAAAGGACTTGAATGATACGAATGACTTCGTCTGGGCCCTCAGGTGGTGCATCTGGTACGAGACCCAAGGGCTATCTTGAGATCCCTTACTCGAGCTAAATACTCTTCCCGAGACCCGAGGGTCCTATGTCCTCTCATTCAAAACGATCTTCGTCTCGGAAGGCTTCTGTCGCCGCAGAGGTAATTCATGGCTCGATTATGATAATTCGATAACCCTTGGAAGGCTTTCGAGGCTTTGACTCGTGGCAGATACGTGAGAATCCGTTACGAGGACCTCGTACAGAGACCAGAGGAGACCATGAAGAAGATTCTTCATCTCGTCAACGTGGACTTCGATCAGCCGAAACTTTGGAAGACCTTAGAAGATCTGGTCATAAGGAATATACCTTCCACTCCTGAACTTTTAGCCCCTTTCGACGAGTACACGAGAGGCGTCATTCGAGAAGAATGTGATGAAGTGATGAACGACCTCGAATACGCGGATATGTGAATCCCTGTGGATCACACGACAAGAATAAACGAATAACACGTATTATTGAAACCTTGGCATACGTTTAATACAGTGTGATAGTCTATTCTTGGCTGCCACATAGAGTCTCCAATTCTCCCAAGGCGAGAATTCCACGGCTTGCGAATAAGAAAAGGACACTCACACCAGAATAGCATCTCCATAACCTGATGAGGACCTGTAACCTCTCATTCTTACGGATCACATGAATAAATTTTGAGGCGCAGAGGAAGCGGATGTGAGAGGATCGACGATACATGAGGATCGCCTTCGGTACGCGGAAAGTCTGTGGAAAGTCTGTGTTATAAGCCCGTCTATTCACGTCCGGGTCGAGGTCTTAGCGTGACTAGGCAACGCATTCGCACAAATGGGATGTGAACTGGAGATCCGTTCTACTGGGCCTAATCCATCCAGTTACGAAGTCGTTGCCATCGGAGACCAAACCAGGAAATATATCCTTTTGTGGCTCCCATCGTGATCATCTTCCTTTTTTGTTTTCCGCGACAGTTGTACCTGAACTCTCCAGTGGCATCATAATGATGTTACTGTGAGCCGAATTTTTCTCGAGTCATTCGATGACGCAAGAGGAGGAGGAAAGATGATATTTCTTAATTATTTTCTCTCATGCCCTTCATAAGACAGGCTAAATTCCACGTATGACCTGAGAAGCGAATTCTATTGGGGCCGAGAATTTTATGCCCGAGCCCGTAACCGCTTACATCTGATCGAGCACACCTCAGCCAAAATAATCTCTTCCGGCCCGGGTCCCCAAGTAAATATTTTTGCCTTTCAGACCCAGGCAGACATTTTTGCTTCATTTGAACCCTTAACTGGTCTAATTGTTTTATTATTATTATTTTTTATTCATAGCGTAACTGGTATCGTGGGGTCAAATTGGCTCTAGCAATAAAAATCTCAATAAAATGAAGCTATTTGGAATGAAAAGGGAAAAATTCCTCTTATGACCTCACGATACCAGTTGAGGGTTAATGAAGCCTGGGCGCTTCAATGTACAGGGTGGGCGGAAAGTCTCTATACCCCTGAGATATTAAGCATCCAGAGGGTCTGTGTGAACTCCATCGTCGATACGTCGCCATGTCCTGTGAGACATTTCCCGCACCATTAAGTGCCCTGCAAGGAGCCCAGACCTCACTACTTGTAACAACTCGCTGTGGGGATACATAAAAGTATTCGTGTCGATGCAGCGCTACAAGACGACTGAGGAATAGAAAGGTGCCTTTCGAGACGCATTTGCAACAATTCCACCGGCAATGCTGCGAAAGATGTCTCACAGGACATGACGACGTATCATTCTGTGCCGCGACAACGATGGAGCTCCATCGTTGACCAAAGACCCTCTTGTTGTTGTTGAGTTGGTTTTAATGGGCCGTTTGTCTTGTGCAAATTTGGCCCTGCACAGACCCTCTGGAGCCTTAATATTCCAGGGGTATAGGGACTTCCCGCTCACACTGTAGAACGTAGAAACAGAATCGAATCGGCACTGTCTGTGGTTGGTATTATTCGCGGTTCGAGTATGATCCAAGTGTGATTAAATGTGACAGGGCACGAAGAAAGGGAGCAACATGGACCTTTTTTTTACTTAAAAAATGCTTCTGAAGTATCGGCACCGCTGATCCCGGTCACGTCAACCACGATCTAGAATTTTGATAGCATTTTTGAGGAAAAAAAAAAACATTCCAAAAGAAAAAGTTATAACAAGAACTGACCAATGATCCGTTGAAGAGTCACATCGTATCCGCTCCCCTTGATCCCTTTTCTCCTGCCGCGTCACGGTATTTTGTTCGTTCCCTATGACTTTGCGGAGGGGAGAAGACGGGCCGGGCCCCAGGCAAGCAAGCACGACCTCTCCACACTCTTGAGGCCCTGCGGGCTTAGAGGGCACTCATGGACGCGGAGCACAAGCGCGTCCCGGGCAATCACAACCCACCGATCGGAGCTCTACTCGGCGAACGTGCCCGTCGTGCCATTCGGCACGGTAGATGCCTTTTGCCGAATGAGAGAGTCTGGAGATGATCCTCGACGAATTACAGATTTGCTGTTCTAAACGAAATCGGTGGACGTCGCATTCCAAAGTCTCAAATAGGAGCATACTACGGTAACGTGAAGGGGGCATCGTCCGTGACGTGAACCGGTGTGCCCTTTCTCAAGTATCGTGTCGGCGATTGCTTGTTTTTGCGATTACATCAGGAGGCGAAAACAGATAGCATCAGTAAAGTACCAACATTTTGACTCGTACCTCTGTTTTTCCCCGACAGTTTCTCGTTCAAGACAAAAAAGTGCGCCTGCACGAACTGATTGAATTTCAAGAATGCAAGTCTTGCAAAGCAAGGAGAGACTGTAAGAGCCAGAAATAAGAGTGAAACCTTCGCGAATTCGAGGGTCGAGAAGCCTTCAGTGAGCCATCGGCTTCCCATCCCCCTCTCGATGACGAAAAACCTAGCAAGTCCACTTTTCTCGTGATCGATTCTTGAAAGGAAAAAAAAAAAACCTTCTCCACGTGTTCCTTCACGCGTCCACGACCTCACGAGTCCCACCGCGAATCCCAAAAGATGCCTTAGCGATCTGCAAGCCGAGTTCGCCTTTTCGCGACTGGCAAAGTTTTCTACTCCCATTCGGTTTCGTTCCCTCGAACAATTTTACTTTTTGAACTTGCAAGGTTTTGGCTATCGAGAGGTCCGCTAAAGCAGTTCATTTGCTCACTGCTTCGCAAGTTCATCGTTCACAACGTTTCACAACCCGAATCCTCCGTTCGATAGTGGAATTCGTATTTCTCGGCGGTCGGTCTATGGATTCACGGATCACGCTCGACGAGCTTCTTTTCGAATGGGATTCAAATGATGGGCTTTACCCGGTAGTCCGTGGTTCATTTGGGCTTAATCTGGTCCCGCAAAGATGCTCCTAGGACTCGATCCATCGAGCCCGGATGCGACACACCATTACCCAGGGAGTGACGTCGCCTGAGATTGCATGCGATCGGTCGGTTGTGATTGTCAGGCTGTGCAAGGGGCTGTGGGCGGGAGGGAAAACAGATGCGTGCTCCTGCCAGAGTCCTCAGAGTCCGAGTCCTCCCCTTTCTCCTGCCCGGACTCCTTCGTAGATACTATTGAGCAGGGACGTGCAACCCGCGGCCCACGGGCAGCACACGGCCCGGGAATGCGTAATGGGATACGAGATGAAATGAGTTTCGTTGCGGACCCAAGGCCCATCACAACTAGGGCATGGTTCTGATTAATCAATTAATCAGTTAATCATTTTTCGAATTTAATCATTAATTAATCAAAACATTTTTAGAAAATGATGGAAAATGATTAATTTTCCCATAATTTTTGTCATGTGGCATTTTGATTTGTACCAACAATTCACTCGGTGCATTTCCCAAAGACAGTTCCCCCACCCATACCTCGTATTTCAATATTAGTTTTCTTCGAATTTCCCGCTCAAATGTTATTCGTTTGCAGTCGTTGGTCGCAACTCGCAAGCTGCAGATAAGTGGGTGGGTGTGTCCAGGGTTTCTCGTGTGATTTCTGTGAAATATATTCTATATCTGTACTCTTTTGAATTAAACTTATATTGCATGAAATTAATCAAGCGCAGTGTTATAATCTCATTGGTTACTTATTAGTATAGGTTAGTAGGAAATAAATAGATAGAATAGAAATAGAGAAATTAGGCCTTGCCTAAATAGAGGAACTTAGGCCTCAGGTAAGCTAAATTCTAATACTTGTGATCTAGGGCCTAGGCTCTCAAAATTTGGTGGCTTTATTCAGTTGTTTTTAATTGTTGGAATGGCACATGAGGGAGGAGTTTTTGCAGTGGTATGAAGTGCGAACTACTGTACATCTTGTTTTGCGTTTCATTGACATTTTTACCCATTTCAGGAGTATTTCATTTTTAATCATTTTTAATCATTTAATCATTGATTAATTAGAAAATTTCATCATTCATCACTTTTAAAAATGATAAATTAACCATGGTCTAATCACAATTTTGGTCCTCCCTAGGTAACCAGAAATGGACTGAGTCCTTTTACTTCCTTCCCTAATTATTCCTCACGCGGGCGACGCTACAAATGCCCCAGGGAAGGAGGTTCTCGATGCCAAAGGCCATTCTCGGGTTGGAATTTCCTAGGGGTAGAGATAAGGCCAATCAGCGGGACCTTATCCCTTCGTATGCCCTGAGGGCAAAAGAGGGAAACACGTCTCAAAGGGTTGCACGTCTGAAACTCGTGGCCCGCGGGCCGCATGCAAACGCTCTCGATGCGGCCCGCGACCCACCTGCAGGCACCAAGAGAGAAACATTTCAGGCCCTCTCAACACAATCAGGGAAAATGTCAGACTTTTTCTCTTTGGCCCGAAAAGAGGTCCGACCTTGACGATGCATCCCCAGCAAAAATGTTGTAGAGAGACCTATAGACTTCAATAGAGTTTTTAATGTAGTTTTATAGAATTCAATAAACCACTCATTGCATCTGGATAGGACTCTATACAGATTGGTATAGTGAGATATAGGGGCTAGAAACCGCGCAAGCGGGAAAGATACCAACACGTGGGTAGGGAGTGGGTAGGGAGTTTCTCACATTTCGGATAAGGAATTCGAGATCGAAGGATACGACATCTTGCGGAAGGATAGGCTCGGCAGAAAGGGGGGAGGAGTCGTGTTGTACGCTAAAACAGAACTGGGCGTTCGCGTCAGAGAAGAACTCACTTCGGCTAACTGTGTAGCAATCGAACACTTATGGTGCGAGATTGGGGGGGCAACTGGGAAGATCGTGATAGGAATTTGCAATAGGCCCCCTAACTCTTCTCTCGAGGATGAAGCAGCATATTTTGCACTCATGCGTAGGATCGGCGAGATCTCGAAGCAGGTATTGCTCTTCGGAGACTTTAACATGCCAAAAATAGATTGGTCGGTGCCGCAAGGGGGGTGCGAAAGGGATAGGGAATTTCTCGTTGCGGTTCAGGACGCTCTTCTCGTTCAGTACGTAAATGA